AGTCCCTTCCGGACTCAAGTCCCTTTGGACTAAAATGAACAGCTCTGGTTCTACTTCTAACTGGCAGATTGACAAATTCGCTTGCGTTTTTCAGGTCGGGTGATCGCGATTTACATTGTTTAATTTTTCTTGCATTGTCTAATATGGTATTTTGACCAAAATCGGACTTTTCTGAAAGGGACATGCCATGGGTTTTCCATATTTCCATCCTACACTCACGTACAAAACCCTGCCAAGTTTTTGGAAAAATTGATTTAGTCCTCGTGTGGGAGGTTTGTATATATTTATTAATCTCTCATCTCTCTTTTTTTTATACTGATTCCTTCACCTTTCGACATCGGTTCATTTCAATAAATTCACATATTTTATGATTTATTTTAAAGTTTTTATTTTTAATATTTTTATAAATTTAAAAAAATATTGAAATTATAATCTTTAAAATTTTCACCATCATCTTAAAATAGATGTATTTCTAAGCATACCTGCAAAAAGTAAAATTTCCGAAGATATACGTGAATTGATAAAGGATAAAACATCAAATGTGCTTTAGACACTCTGTTATAACTGTTTGAAAGTAGAAACGAAGTACGATTTACGTCTTTGCAACGGTCTTTATTACGTCTTTGCAGATGAGGTTTTTGTCGCGTAGACGTTACTCAGCGTTACTCTTCTCATGATTAACATCCTGCTTTTACTGCTAATTGGAACGCAATTTGCATAAGCCATCTGAGCCAAGCCTTGAAGAACAGTACATAATTTAACTTAAAACTCATCGTTAGCAAAGCTTTCTACCCTTAACGTATAGCCGATAGGGATGCTGGCTGCTGCATCTTCGCTGCTGGCTTCGAATCTTGCAGAAGGCATGAATGTTTGCAAGTATATACTGACTGCATGACTACTAATTCATGGTAGAAACTTTGAGGACTGGTACAGGACACTAGCAATCACATTTTGCAAATTATTTTTGTAAATTATTTTTGTAAATTAATTTCAATTAATTTTTATTTAATTTTAATTAATTTTTTAATTTTAAATTAATTTTTGTATATAATTATTTTGTAATTAATTCCACGCGTCACGGGGATGAAAATGAACACTTGTCCCGGTCATTTGTTTTTGTCTTCCTGTGTTTGTGCTTCGACGCTTCACTTTTGACCATACGTTGTTCTTGTACAAAATGTGATTTTTACAGTGCCCTGTACCAGCCTTCAGAGTTTGTACCATGAATTAGCAATCACCCTGTATAATGCATGTGCGGCATGGGGCTCTTGAAACATAAGCGAAGAAAAAGTCCTGTGGAGGAGTTTGGTGGAGTAAAAAAATGAACGTGAAAACCTTGTATCCGTCCCTTCCGAGTATTCTTCATGAAATATGGGACGAAGCACTTAAATTAGTGGTGGGCTATACCTATAAAACCAACGATAAAATTCTTACACCCCGTCCGCTTCTTCTTGTTCTGTCTTGTTAGTAAGCCTTCGGAAAAATTGTCACAAAACCATTAAAAATACAAAAATTTATTTTAAGGTAGGTTGCAGTTTATCGTACATCAGCTCGAATATTTATTCTTAATGATGGTTCTTCTATAGGCCTAAATTTTAAAGCTAAATTTGAAAAACCCAATAATTTTTCATCTAATTGTATTATATGGCTGATGGCGTTTTATCCGCAAATTTGGTTTATTATAAAAGTTTAATATTGATAATATGAAGTCAGAATAGTTGCAGTTTTTTCGCAAGCATATTTGAAATAATTGGAGTTTATTTACACTAGAAAAAATTGTGAGACACAAAATAAATCTCCAAAACATTTTTGCCGTTAATGGAGAATGCGATTAAATTTCGCTTGGAAAAACTCAATCTAAAGCATGAAAAAAAATATTTATAAAAAATCTATGAGAATATTAAAATGCTATGTCTTTTTTTGAAAGATAATCTTTGTTTTTTTGTTTTGCCCATATAATTAAGTATGTTCTTTTTATGTTATGGTATTGTTAACGTTTTATACCACCTATATCTGATTTATCTTTATAAATTAATTACATTTTGATGACTGGATAAAACTGCTTCTGGAACTTTTCTAGGAAAAAGTTTGATGTGTACACCCCATCAAGGCCTGTACGAATAAGTAAATTAAACCATTTTTTTTGTTGACACTTCTTGGCCAACTTCACACTTTTACCATCTCATTCTTTATACTTAATGCACAAAAATATATACTCTGAAGAATTATCTAAATCGGTGCCACATGTCCTAGTCAATACAATAAATCTAAAACGATCATAAAAAATTAAACAACACCACAAAACAAAAAAGAAACATTTTTGACAACGATCAGTATTTCTCATTCAATTAATGAGTTCTTAGTCGCGACAAGTAAAAATAACATAAAACTTAAATATCTATGTTAAAAATACGAAGTACTCTTAAACCCTTATTTCTCGAGAAACTCCGAATGGATTAACTGAATATTCCAAGAATGGACGAATACGTTATCTTTGATGCTGCGCAGCTTAGTTGTTCTAGATTGGACACAACCCCTTTTCTCTAAGTTTCAATGTAAACACTTGGCTGCTAGGTAAAAATAATGAAGCTAGCCGACTTTAAGAACTTTTAAATTGTTGATAAGTCTCAATATTACATACAGATTACTAAGGTATAAAATCTTAACCGGAGATACAAACAACATAATCCCAATCATTTTTAAAAGGAAATTGCGAATTTACCAACATATAAGATTAAAAAAAAACTCACTGACCGAGTAAGAGGGCCGAACGGGGTGGGCCGATTGAGATAAAAATAGGATTTTGCAACCAAAATAGGAGGTGCATATCTACATGTTGTAATCATATATATAAAATTTCAATGTTCTGAGGCTACTCGTTTTTGAGCTATACAAGATACATACGTACAGACGTATGTACGCACAGATGCCACGAAAAAATCTTTTCAGAATCCATTTTAAATCAGTTTTATAATTTTTTTGGGGAAAATGAGTCCTTTATTCTGTCCATACGTACAGATGTCACGCAAAAACATCGTTAAAGTTTATTTGATAGAAGCCGAAATGGATATTTTCGTTGAAATATGATACCCGAAATGTTTCGCGATGACAGTACTTCCTTTTTACTATGTACAAAGAAGGCAAAAATATATTCTTGTTCACCTCTCCATTATAATGATACAGAATTTATTGAATTGTTTTTGTTTGTTGAAATCACACATATTAAGACAACCAAATAAAAATTATTGAGGAAGCAGCTTTTGGGTCATATCCACAACAGTATTTTGCTACTTTGTCTAAGGTTGGTAATTCGCAAGCAGCTTTCAGTTAGGCTGAAATTGCTGAAGCTATTAGAGCAAAAGATCGGACAAATTACAAAAGCAAAATGCTCTCATGGTTTCATAAAAGTATACAAGACAAAAAGACTGGAAAAGGTATATTACTCAGTCAAAGAAAATGCGTCCGACCACACCGTCAACTAGCATATCCAGATGCCATTCTTAAGTAGAACCTATATGAAGCCAATAGAAAGCTTTAAACAGTAGTTTAGTCTGTAACATTAGTCTCAGTTACCGGAGCAGAAGGTCTTGACTTCACATGAAACAGTCTTTATTCTCACATTCAATTAAAGAGAATCCCAAAACTGCTAATGTCTTCTTCAATATCTTTGCATTTTTGTAAGACATGCCCTGGTAAAAGCAGTTAGATAAATCATCCATTTTACTATGGAGCTGTTTTCGCAAACTATGATACAATTACTTCTAATGGCACGTTACATTATTTTTGATGGTACAATTTTCTTACAGATTTAAATGAATGTCCTGAATGAATTTAAAGCGGAGATAAATATATTTCCGACAAAGCGGAATATTAGTGAAAACAAATATGCTTTTGAACACCACATGTCTTTGAGAAACTGGATTTTCAGCCACACTATTAACGAAAGATAAATATAGGACACGACTGCACCTTGAATCTTGTTATGCTAGAAATTAATGAAAATATTAGTTCAACATATCGAAATTGATTAAAATGAAACAATATCATCTGTCTCAAAAATCTGAATATTTGCTACTGTGCATTATTGCCCACTGTTTACTACAATATATTGTTACATTCTACGAGTTCGTGGATTTGGAGCGACTGATGACAACACTTGATCAAGAATCAAAACACAATTTATTCGTCATTATTACACATGACAGTTTCAAAGACGCGTTACGTTCGTCGGAAAACACTCTGAAACAATCAGCCCTTCAGGCTATCAGGCTACAACGGTGAAGACAGCTACACAGCAAAGTGCTATAGTACAGCTTCCGACTCGGTCGATCGCTCTCGCGTTAATCTCTTAACTCAACAAACTCTCACTACTCCTCACGATACACTACTACTCCGCGTACAGGCAGGGTAGAACTTTCGATCTACCTTCAAGAACATTCTCGGGAAAACCGGTAGGAATTCGTTCTAGAATGTTCTCGCTCCGTCTATGGCATATCGCCAAATGGGCGATTTCGCGTGAAATCTGGCAAGCCTGTCTATCCTTGCCATTTTCTGGCAAGCCTAAACCCGCTTTTCGGAGAAGCTATCGTACCGCAGCTGGGCTTTCGCAACAATATATATTTATTTAAACCGTCCGTTCTTTTTACGAATATAATTCAATAATCAAAATTTAAAACGTTTTATTCTGTAGATGCATTGACTTTTAATTGAAAAAGCTGTTAGTATGGAACATATATTTTTTTAAATTTTTATTTACGTAGTACAAAATTAAAAAATTTTGAGGATATGTACCCTAGAGATACACTCAAAAATAAACATGATCATCCAGAGATTTAAAACTAGAAATACTACTATTGATTATCATATATCAGAAATCCGAAATGTTTTTGCTGAGCATATTCGAAATCTTTCCTATGACACTTTACTGCAGGCTTAAGATATCCAACATCAGCAAACGCTCCACAGAGTAACATTCGTAAGAACTTAATGAAGTCCACAGGTCATGCGCAATACTCTCGGACTGAATTAATATTTTCAAATCCAAATCCTCTAAAAACACAGAAATAAGTAAACTTACCGAGCAACGGTGACTTGTACCAATATCCATCTCTCACTTCGAGGTAGTCTGTATCACAATTTTCTGATTTGTGGAGATCAATCTCGGTGATATTGAGGATGATGCGCTCACCTTGGGTAGCCGTGATGCGCCACTCGCAGTGGTCACCTTCAGGTGGCGGACTGGAGGCGGAATAATCAGGGGAAGAGAAAGTGCCACTCGGGCTTTGCAAGGTCTTGCCACACTCTGCAAACAAACAAGGAGCAAATAACATGCAGCATAACACAGAATAAGTCTCTTAGATCATAAACAAACAAAAGTCAACAAAAGGCAAAAGTTATTGTTGCTCCTTCAGTTTACATAACGAGCAAAGATAATTAAAATTTTCCAAGTAGCAAACATGAAAAGTCAAGATTCCCTCATCGGAATTCGAGCCACGGATTTACTATTTGCTAGATGGATATGACACCTTATTACACATTGAGAACACGTATGGAGAATGAGATTATTCCTTATATTTTCTCCCACTTAAGGGGGCTCATACACCTTAAACCCCTTATGATCTTCGAATATTTGACTGTTGCAAAAATAGGATTGTATTTATTTAAAAAAAACCAATTTACTTCCACTTTTTACAGCTGATACATAATATAGCCTTTGCGACCATAACCTTTGTGTTTGTACAAATATTCCTTCTACTCTTAAACGTATTTAACAAAATTTTGCGCCATGTTTCAACCGTGTGCCGCATTTTGTTGAATTTTTAATGGCTACGTTCCGAAATTGATGCGACTTCTTAATATGGGCCTATTTTTTAACTGAACAAAAATCTGATGCATATTTTTAATATTAAAAATTCTAATGCACAAAAACATACAGTTTTTTAATATGTCTAATTTTTATAACTCTACTCCAAGAAAATAAAAATGTCATATGAAATTCTATAGAATTTTTTTGGTTCAACGTAGTTTCCAAATGTTTATAAAATCTATATATTAAATCTTTCACTTAAATATGCAATAGAAGGCTTTAAACTGTGCGCGCAAAGTGGAAACACGACGAAACATTTTGTCACAAAGTGGATTAAATTATAAAAGTATTTGTGGCAAGACAAACGTTCTGATTACTAATTCAGAAAGCAGCTATATTATGCAGTCAGCTGTAAAAAGGTGAAAGTAATTGCTTTTAAAATAAATACGTTATCCCAATTCTTGTAACAGTTACATATTCGAAGATCTTACGGGTTTTAAGGTGTATGCGTCCTCTTAAAGCGCGACTGGGGACAGGAAAGAGATCCAAATCTAGGTTGTAATGAATTATCGTCCACTTCATTTTCAGTTTGGGTGTCATTGTAGATATATTAGGTTTTCTTGGAGCCAGAAACATGATAAATTGAATACGCTCTCGCCGGGATTTTAAGCATCCATCCTCCAGCAAGCTAGATTTATCTATCATTTAAGCCACGAGAGAACGCGCAAAGGAATGCGATAAATGGTCACAGGTAGAAAATTTACATTATAATAATTAATTCATATTAAAATATAAGTACATGTATCAAATTCTTCAGTAAACACTGTTAAGAATATTATCGAAAGAAATTTACCTTTTGTAAAAAGCGAATGCATTTTAATCTTTTTTACGTGTAAGATACCAACATTTTCAGCCCTACTGCTCAAATAACTGGTTTCTGATTTTACTCCATTAATTTTAATTGTACTCACTTGATTGACTTCTTACAATTAATTTTCCCAGTCATCGTTGTTTATTAGCATTTTATTAATTAACTAGTGGAAGTATCCGATGGCAGTTAAGTTACATCATATGTCTATCAGAGAGAATGATACCGCTGTAATCCTTCTCTAATAACGATGCAAAATAATACGATTCATAGTCATACATTTTTCTGTCTGATGAGATATGGAACCCACATAAAAATTTTTGATAGAAAACTACGCTCTCTCATTATATCAACTAAAATAGCACGCAGTTTTTAATGATTTTCGTCTTTCTAATCAAATGGTCGCATAAGCTCAAGTTCCATCCTATATTTCACCTATATTCAATTTTAGTCGATTAAATGTGGCAAAGAATTGATCATAATTGATCAGAAATCAATAACGTGAACAAACAAACAAACGCATAAACAGGTATTCCTCTTTATATGTATAAGATTTTGTAGAACTTACAAATTTTTAATTAAGAAAGTCTACGATTTGAAGCGAGGCTGTTAGCCAACACTTTTCGAAATAGCATTTATCTCCAGCGTACGAGAACCTTGTTGGCCACCTTGGAAAAATGTGCGAATTAGCGCTTCAGAGTTTTTTAATTAATACAAGATGGGAATAGTCGACGCTGGGAAATTTTTGGAATCGGGAATATATATATAATTTGGCATGCTATTTTTTTTTTCTTTCATCGCGCAAGAATTTTTTTTTTTATTGACAAACTCTAGGATTTGAAAGCGAGCAGTGGCAACAACTTTCGAAATAAAGCAAATTTTCATCTACATCTTGCGAGAATGTTGCCACTCGGAAAAATGAGGGTGAAAATGATCGTGTTTTCGAATTTTTAATTAATATCTCTGATTTTAGCTACTTTTCTTTTTTGGGAAAAAAGTGGAGGTTGACCTTTTCCAGAACCCAGGAAAAAAATCGTACAAAGTTTGGCTACGATAGCTATAGTAGTGATTGATTTATTAAAGGACACACAAACATACTTTCTTATTTACATGTATAGATACAGTGGATGGACAAAAATATGGAAACACCTTGTGAAATGCATGTTTGTTGTTGAAAAGATGAAAAGTTGTATGTTGTTGAAAAGAAAGATTGAATTTAATGAAATATGTAGGTGGCGCTGGCGTTTTTGACTACTGACGCCACCTATACAACTTCGTAAATGTGCTAAACAGTTCAGTTGTTGTCGGAAGTACTGTTATTGAGGTTGTCAGCATTATTCAGAGTTAACAGACTTCGAACATGGGCAAATTGTTTGGAGCAGTATGGCTCCGTAAGCAAGGTAGCCGAGGTGTTTAGTTTCAAAGAGGTACTGTATCGAAGATTTATTCCGCATATTTGAAAAGCGGAAAAACACATCTCTGCTAAATCACAGCGCGGACGAAAGTGTGTCCTGAGGTGATCGTGACAGAGATCATTAAGGACAATTGTGACGAAAAAATAGAAGACCACAGCTGCAAAAGTTACTGCTGAAATGAATGTTGTGTTACCGAACCCTGTGAGTACCAGAACAATTAGAAGAGAGCTTCATAAACAGGGAATGCTGGCCGGCTGGCAATTGAGAAGCCATCAATCAGTGATGCTAATGCCCGTAACAGTAAAAGGTGGTGTTAAGTCATAAAGCGGACTATAGAGCAGTGGAAGCGAGTAATATGGTCGGACGATTCTTCTTTCACATTGTTTTCCCCCACTTTTTGGCCGAGTTTACGTCTGGAGCCCATCTCAAGCCTATAATACAGACTGCTTGTTGCCAGAGTGAACATGGCGGGGGTTCTGTTAGGTTTGGGCAGCCATATCGTGGTTCTCTGCTAGCCCATGATAACTGGGTCAGGGCACATGACTGCCAAGACTTATGTGAACATTTGGCGATCAAGTTCATCCCATGGTACAAACTTTGTTCCCGATGGTGATGGTGTCTTCCCAAGACGACAAAGCCTCTTTCACACAGCTCACATTGTCAGGACTGGTTTTCTGAGAACGAGGATGAGTGTCCCATCTTCCTGGCCACCACGTCACCAGACCTGAATATTAAGAACCTTTGTGGTCTATATTGGAACGAAAGTGGTTCTCGTTGTCCACCGCCAACATCGTATCTGAACTTGCCACCGTTTTGCAGGAAGAATGGTATAATTCCCTTGGCAAACACACAGGAATGTATTTATCCATTCGAGAAGACTGCAAGTGTTTGGATGCCAACGGGTTCCTACACCATTTAAGCAAAGAAACATGTTTTTTTTTTAAAGGTGTTTCCATATTTTTGTCCAACCCCTGTATATCTAATGCGCAATTAAATATGCAACTTCTAACAAATGCCATGCATTGTATTTAAAGGGTATAGTTTTTCTGAAAAAAAAAGATACAGGTCATGATTAACATTTTAAAAATTTCATTTTAGTTAGTGATTTATTATTAACTTACTCTAATAAATTATAAGCTATGGCTCAAGGGCGTTATCGCTATACGTCGCAGATAAAATTTATTCAATACAGTAAAAGAAATTCTGCTAGACTATACCAGGAGAAAAAAAAAAGAGCTGAGCAGGAAATATATCGGATGGATAAAGTTAACTGATTAAGACTTCACTCTTTGTATCCATGAGATCCTGAATTACATATTCAGGAAAAAATTCTGATCAGCAGGCAGACATAGATTCATTAAATGTAATCTTATTTGCAGGAACATAAATTAAACATAAGTAATTTCCTTTTCCGAAAGCCATTCAGCGGCAAAAGAAGATAAGAAGAAATAGAGAGAATTGATTAACCAAGAAATGACGCAAAGAGATATCGATAGTACTAAGGAAGCTATGAATTTTTTTAACTCAGTTAAGGAGAAAGTAAGGATTATTCGAATATGGAAAAACCAAGAAGTATTTTAGATAAAAATCTCATACTCCATATCAGAATTTGTCATACTGTATGCAATGATTTGTTTCGTCTCCATTAAATAAAACTTTAAATAACAGAAGATATACAAATATTTTAAAAGCAAAATAAGGGTCTGTTAAAAAAATAAAAATTTACCTTTGGAGAGGAAATGTTTCTGAAAGTTTATTTCTCAGTGAAACATAATTCACTTATCCACACCCGAAAAGTCTTAAAAAATATATTAGTATACATGAAATATGTAACTTTAAGAATTTCTGCTTTTACACTTTAAAAAAAAAGTGCTGATGATGAAGAAGCGTACAAAATAAATACAAATGACCTGCTTTTTTCTTTTTTTCTTTTCTTGTTTTCTTTAGGGGAAATTTGCGCAAGAAGGACTGTTAATTTCATTTTGGCATTTTGCGTTGATTCACTATAAACGGCGAATCACTTTTTTAATTGATGCCAACAAATATTAGAACTCTAGACTATATTTAAAAAATTAAATAATGAAGAATCTGCATAAACGTATATATGTTTCTTGCATTTTGATAAAACAACGGTACCTAGAGCCATCCAATTTTGAATAACGTACTTCTCCACCCGATTATCGGCATCAGGAAGCCCAAATTTGGAATTTGTT